GCTCGTGCTCTTCCAACCTCAGCATCTCCTGCATTGTAGCCCTCGACAAGATCGAATCAAACAGAAGACGGTCTTTAGTTTTCTCAAACCTTGGGAGAACTCCCCAGACTATGTGCCTGCACATCGACTTTTCATCCCTGTTATCACCACACGATCGAAGTCTCATCCACAGCGCAACTGCCCTACCGTAATAGTCCATAAGACTCTCTCCTTGCCTCTGGCCTATTACGTTCCATGCGTCGTCAAGAGTTTGTCGCTCCTAACTCTTGTCCTGGCTGTATTGTTCGAGAAACACGCAGTACACTGCTTGAGGTGATTCTGATGCCAAGATTTGGGCTTGTACGGGTCGTGCTGTGATCTTAGCTAGCATAAACGTCCAAATCTTCCTGGATTGCTTCACTCTCTCCTCTCCGAACGTGCCGCTCAACCAATTCAAATCCACACCAGCTGCACCAACAGGAACCTCTGGACTCCTCATCACACCAGCAAGTCCCTCACACTCCAGCCACGCTTCAAAAGCACTCGTGAATACTCGCAATGCAACTTCGATCGATCTGTTATTCAGATAGTCATCACTCCACTGGTACATCTATCTTTTCTCTCTGCCTCAGTTCTAAGATCTAGTTGTTATTAGTCGTGCCTGAGTGGGCACGGTGCCCCTGGTCATGAGTTGATGTCGCGAAGGCCTGCTTGAAGAGGTCAACCAGCTCACGCATCGTGTCGCGCTGATCTTCCCCTCCTGCCGCTCGCGCCCCCCCTCGGTCTCGTGCATCGTTGACGAAGAAAGAATCGCTCCCTCCTCCGTCCGCGACGCCTTCCCCGGGGGGAGGGACAGCCTGACCTGATCCCCCCGGAGGCTGTCGTCCGTCTCCGTCCGGCATGTTGCGCGCTTAGACACGGCGGCCACTCTCTTGATCGTTAACGCTAGCGTGTCGAGTAGCTTTGTGCGTCGGTGCCTTGGCGCGCGGGGTCCCTTGGTTGGGAAACAAAAGAGCCAGCGGCGCGGTAGCCGCCAATGGTACAGTGTAGGAACTATGATGGGCGTGACAGCCTTCTACTTTAGGATGGAGCGTGATAGCTCGGGTATGGTATCTCTGGATGTGGCGTGGAAGCCTGGTGACGTGATAGTCGTGGTGTATATGTATAAGGAAGGACCTGGATGTCCGGAAGGCGTGATAGCCGGGTGGCGTGATAGCCAGGATTGACGTGGAAGTCGTGGCATGATACATGTAGCCGTGGTAGCGTGATAGCCGGGGAAAAAGGACTGCTGTATTGCACACAGGAAGGAGGAAAAAGAGGAAACAAAAACAACATAACATCTATATGAGACACCCAAGACAGCTACCAAACTGATTTGTTGAGCCTGTTACCCGCAGGGGAGATGTCCCTACATGCTGTCTGGGAAATCGTAGACATACAGGTAGTTTTCTCTGACGTTGTATGATTCCATTGTTAATCTGTCCATGACTCTTTTCTATGATAGAGATGGGCTCGTTGTGTCATTTTAAGAAAAAAAAAAAAGCAAGTGAGAAACCACAACGCATAATCACCATATCCGTTGTAGACACACACATACCACCACCCTCAATCCTGTAATATACGGCAAAGTTGGTACCGTCAAATCGAATCCAAAGCAACTGCTGAACCCCCAAACTCCCCGCTCAGCCCCGCTTCATCTGCTCGGAAATTTCTTGCTCGCAATAATCTGTCGATGCTGTGAGTACGTCTAACATCTGTCCTACATAATAATGTCCTACATAGTCGACATGTGATTGGTGGGAGGACGGCATCTACTCGGCTTTACGCCTCTGAAACACAGATGATCTGTTTTTGTTCTTCCGGTCCAACACTATTTTTGCCCTATGCATACGAATCCGTGGATGCTGTTGCGTTTCCAGTCTAGGCTTATACCTGATATGCGGGCATTGTTTTCGACATAAACGGCCTTGGCGCGCATAGGCAAACGCATAATGTCGACCGTGCATACTATTCTTTTTTGGCGCATAATGTCGCGCATATATGGGGATACTGTGCATAAACNACGGTGAAGAAATCAGAATAACACAGAGCATAGAATCGACAACCAGCAAGACCACGTGTTTCAATGTGTCGGGAAAGACAGGGGCACGTGCGTACCTCGCGCAGTGACCCTCAACGTCATGTAAAAGCAACACCGTCGGCAGAAAGCGCGTGCATAAGTACACACATCAAACTGGAAAACAAGCATAACTGCGTGCATAATTCGCTGCTGTGAGCACATGCTCAGCCAGAAAAATCCGCATAAAAAAAAAAAAAAACGCATATCAGGTATAAGCCTATTCCAGTCCTGCGTTTTAATCCACACATACGCCCCAGAGTCTCTTGTAGCACTCCCGGACGCCTATAATCTCCTAATCTCGCCGCAATGTGGCGGAAACAGTGATCGCGGATTACCACCATGCACCAGGCAAGTAGGAAGCACCTGAGGACACCGCAATGGCGACGACAGAGGAAGATCGACCTCTGGTGCAACGCTTGCGTTCACCAGGCGCGGCAGACGCCTCGCCCGGAGGAGGGAGAGCTCTCAAGCCGCTGCCATTTTCCCTCAAGGGTTTTTTGACGACCTTCTTCGCGGTGCTCTTGGTGTTCCTCCTGGCCGCGATGGCAAGCCGCGTTATCAAGTGGGCGAGCGACGATAGTTCGACGGTGGAGAGGGTGGAATCTTCTGTGGACGGTGCAGAGGGCACTCGTCTCTCTGGCCTCGTGAATCCCAACAACGGGTCACACCCGACATTGACCACCACGGCGGACTGCACGGGAGGTGCGTGGGGCGTTACCTAAAAAAAGTGTCTCATGTAGATAAATAGAACATCCTGCAGCAGCACAAGGGTCACTGCGCTGTAGACCACGTTAGCTGCATGGCCGTCGGACCAAACGCAGAGACTTTTTAGTCTCAGCAGTGCGCCTGTGTGTGTGCGTGTGTTTCTATTATTAGCATCGACCGCGCTAACCGGCTGACCAATGAAAAGACGTCACTCTTAATGCAGTTGAAAACACGAAACACTTGAATCTGCCATGAACTGGGACCCCGTGAGCGGCAGCATGGGGGAGGCGAAACTATCCTTCGAGTCAAAGACAGAAACAGCAGCAACAGAAGAAAACTGGACGCGTCTACCAAGGCTAGTACCTTGTACTCTAGTTCGTGCAGGAGCATTTTCACCATTATCCTCCTTGTTTTCGCTACCATCATTCTGATCCTCATTTTGACAAGAATCTCTGGGCAGTTCTTCCCTAGCCCGACGTTTTTTGTTTTGGGGAAGGTCATCTGGCAGAAACCCTTTGCTCACTTTCATTCCTCCATGATTTCCTCCTCCATCGTCGTCTTCGTCCTCCTTTCTTCCCGTTCCCTTTCCTTCGTCTCCGTCGCTCCATCAGAATTACCCTCATTGTTATCGTTGTCGCGGAGATCCCAACCCATTGTGTGTGTGTTTTTTTTTATTAGTAGCATCGACCGCGCAAACCGGCTGACCAATTGAAAGACGTCAGCGCCAGCGGGTAAAAATCAAGGTCCCTAGAAGGGGGCCAAATTTCGAAAAATGCGCAATGTCCTAGATGCGAATGCCAGTACGACTCTCTCTACATTTTCTTTCACGCAGACACACATTTCAGCTACACAAATGCCCTCGCTGGAATCTAGGAAGCCACTGATGGAAAGAGCGGCGGACAGCAAAAGGGTTAATTCAAGCCCAGCCGAAGCCAGGATATCGTGGTATGCTGCATCTCCCAATTTGATAATCGTGCACTCCCAAGTGCCAGCAGCTGGGTGACTCGAACAAAATAGCAACACATACACTGCATAGCTCCACACATGCCCTCGCACGAACCTAGGAAGCCACTGATGCAAAGAGCGGAGGACAGCAAAAGGGTTATTTCAAGCCCAGCCGAAGCCAGGATATCGTGGTATGCTGCATCTCCCAATTTGATAATCGTACACTCCCAAGATCCAACAGTCATCGTGTCAGCAGCTAGATTACTCAAACATAGTAGCAACACATTCACTGCCATGGCTCCACACATGCCCTCGCCCGAACCTAGGAAGCCACTGATGCAAAGAGCGGAGGACAGCAAAAGGGTTATTTCAAGCCCAGCCGAAGCCAGGATATCGTGGTATGCTGCATCTCCCAATTTGATAATCGTACACTCCCAAGATCCAACAGTCATCGTGTCAGCAGCTAGATTACTCAAACAAAATAGCAACACATACACGGCCATAGCTCCACACATGCCCTCGTCCGAACCTAGGAAGCCACTGATGCAAAGAGCGGAGGACAGCGAAAGGGTTATTTCAAGCCCAGCCGAAGCCAGGATATCGTGGTATGCTGCATCTCCCAATTTGATAATCGTACACTCCCAAGATCCAACAGTCATCGTGTCAGCAGCTAGATTACTCAAACAATAGTAGCAACACATACGCTGCCATAGCTCCACACATCCCTCGTCCGAACCTAGGAAGTCACTGATGCAAAGAGCGGAGTACAGCAAAAGGGTTGATTCAAGCCCAGCCGAAGCTAGGATATCGTGGTATGCTGCATCTCCCAATTTGATAATCGTACACTCCCAAGATCCAACAGTCATCGTGTCAGCAGCTAGGTGACTCAAACAAAATAGCAACACATACACTGCCATAGCTCCACACATGCCCTCGCCCGAACCTAGCAAGGCAGTAGGAAGTCACTAGGGAGCCAAGTCCTGCTCGCAGGTCCTCTTGTCTTTCCTTCAGGTGAACACGTCCAGGAATCCAGTATCCACAGCCGCCGCAGTAGTACTGTACTGTGTGGTATTGTAGTAGCAGGAAATCCAGGTTATACCCACCCGTTGTCCAAACAAAGATTTTCTGATTTCGTGAGAGAAGGAGATACCACCGCCGTCGAAGGGTCGAAGGCACTGTCTGCCAGATGTAGGCTGTGTGATAGATGGTGCCACTTATGTGTTTTTAGCCTGCCCGCCCGTGAGGGTCGTGACGAGGCCGTGCATGTGTGTGTGTGTGTGTCCGTTTGAGCCCGACCCTTGGTCTATTTCTACCCATTGTTTCCTTGCTTCCTCTCGCACGCGGCAAGTTGCGATGCGCGGCTGAGCGTTGTTCACAGTGAAGTGTCGTGGTGCTTCTCTGCAGAGTCGTGGGGCCGACAATAATGTGGGCGTACGGGTTGTAATGTAATAGTGCTATTCCAGCCTTCGACCCTACCTGGCACTAAAATAGCGGCCCCTACAGCAGTCTTATATTGCCTTGAGGAGGCAGTCGGAGAGAAAGCACTGGTCAGTTTTTCTTTACAGGCCGGGTTGGAGCTACCGTAAGGTTGCGAGTCAGCTAGAGCACAGAGCACAGGGGTGCGAACGATTTTCAAGGCGTCATTTCTCCGCAACCAGCAGGTTACCACTGTCGAGAAGGGCGGTTTGAAAATATCTCATCGAGAGCTTTCCTGAGAAGTATCAGTTGGCGCTCGCACCCTCCTGGTTGTGGAGAAATTACGCTTTGAAAATCGATCGCACCCCTGTGCTCTGTGCTCTGGCTGACTCGCAACCTTACGGTATTCAACTAGCAAGAATACATACGAGACCAAACACAACTGGCTGCATCGCATGTTTATCTTCGACTCCACGTAGTCTAGGAGGCAGACGAATTTGTTTCGTTTTGGTAAAAGCAGAAGCGCGGGGGGGGCATGCCCCGCAAAACCGGTCCGCGAGAAACGCCGGTGCGGGCGATGGTTTGTTCTCGCCTACATCTGACTCTTAACTCTCTCTGGGAGCACCCGCCTTTGCGTATAAGGGTTGCGTCGTGCTCTGAAACCGTCAAGTCCAGAGTGCGACAGAGAACAGAGAGCGGTACATACCTATGCATAAATGAATACCACCGGCCGGGAACCCAATAGTATATCTTGGTGTGCCGCGATGGCGGTGTTAAACGCGCAAGAGGAGCCGTTGTTTTCGGCAATCGGCAGTGTGTATTGCGATCCAACCCTGCGATCTTTGACGAAGCATAGGTACGGTGTCTGCCACAACCTCAGCACCGCTGTACACACGTTCACACATAGGACAGATCAGATCCATACAGATCGAGGTTTTGCGCTTTTTGAGGGGTATCCCTGTTGATCGACAGGACATAGGTGATCGGTGTAAAACTTCCCGAGGTGACCCGAAGGACATAGGTGATCGGGGTATGGTTGCCAGAGGTGATCTGGAGGACATATGTAGGAGACCGGGGTGTGTTTGCCAGAGGTGATCTCAAAGACGTAGCGATCCGGGTGTTTTTGCCCGAGGTGACTGATGGACATACCGTGTAGGTGGCATTAGATGCCACACCAGCATAAGATACCACAACCCTAAAGTTGAACATAGAGCCTTATCACATCGGGGTGTGGTATAGCCGTGGTCACACAAAGCGCAGGTAAACCTGCGCTAGAGCTGTTGCGACGGATACCACAGCGGAGACGAACGAAGCACGCAAAACCGCTGGCATCGCGGCTCAGACTGCATTGGGTCAGGCTCCTTGGCGGCGCCACGCTCAATGACGTCTTTTTTTTCTGTGGTTCCTGAGACTCTCGCAGCACCCGCTGTGCCTGCCACCGCCGGTGCTGCTCGGGCCCGCACATGATACATGTCACGTTATCACACCTCATGATTATCACACGCCACCTCATTATCACTCCCCCTGTAGGTTGGGTCGTGTGGGCGCACTTCATCTCACGGATGGCATTATCGAACCCCATCTTTATCACATCCCTTCTGAGTGTGGTTTATCACACGGGTCACACAAGAATCATACCCCCTACTACAGATTACCACAAGCCTCCACAAATGTGAAATGTTGTCACACGGGTGTGGTGTCTTATGTCTCCTACGGTAGGTGATCAGGGTATATGTTTTAGGGGGTGATCTGCAGGACAAAGATGATCGGGGTATGTGATCCCGACGTGATCTGAAGGACGAATGTGATCGGGGTATGTTCGCTCCATGGCGATCTGAAGGACATGGGTGATCGGGGTATGTTTGCCCCATGATGATCTGAAGGGCGTACGTGACCGGTGTATGTTTGCTCCATGGTGATCTGTAGGACATAGGTGAGCTACATTGCTCACGATTTGTCCCATGTGTGCACACGTCGCCAAGGCAAGGCGATTGTCGTGAACACATGTCGTTCTTTCGTTTGTTAGGACACGTACAGGCTGAACAGTTTTACCCCGTGCATCATATTACTGGCCACCCCAACCCTCGCTTCGCTTTCTCGGTGGTTGTTGCAGACACGCAACTCCCCGTGCTAGGGGGCGTTGACGTGGTCGCGTATTGGGCGTTATCGGCGGGGAGCGAACCGGTGTTTGGGACGCCTAACCTCGTCGCGCTGTTCGGGGACTACCGGTTCTACTTCTCTTCGATCGAGAACCTCAGAACATTCGAGGTGGGTTAGGTTCGGGCGCCTCTCGTGAAGGAGGCCTGACCTTCGAAACAGCCGTCGGACATGGTGAAGAATTGCGTGCGCCACCCATTCCGGATGGAAGCACCGGATGGTCGAACGGGTGGTTGTTTGTGTAGGCTGGTCCTGGTTTTTTCTGCCGTTGCTGCCGCTGGTGGGAGGCGCGCAAATGTCGTTGTGGTAGTGGCAGATGTGCTGCTGCTAAACGTACGCTGTTGTGGTTGTTGTTGACTGTTGCGTGACTTTCGCTGCTGCTGACAGGAACATGTGCAGTTTTTTTTTTTATCGCAAGGGCCAAAGCACTTCTGGGGTTCCATACCAGCAGCAGCTTTGGGCGCGCGCAGAAATCAACAATGTTGTCGTGGACACACATGATGTTTCCTGGCCGAACGCTTTCTTCCCTTTTGGGCGGGGCAACCCTTGACGAAGGATCGCATTCGGCCTTAGGTCCGTCCTCATGATGAATCAAACACATCGTGTCGGACGACACTATTATCGTGTACATTCCGCAGGCCGACTGTTTCAATAGCTTGGGTGACCCTCCTTCTCGAAAATAGTTTCGTGCGTCACCAATGGTGAGACGACAAAGCCAAGGAACAAGGACAACAGGCAACCCCATCCACCCCCATCATACAACCCCCTCACGGTACGCTCTTTGAATCCCCCCAGAGTGATCCGGCCAAGTACATCCCGGCCTGGGGTGGCTTCTGCTCTTATGGCGTGGCGGCTGAAAAGTTTTGGAGGTCCGACATCTTGGGGCCATTTGGCGACCCTTCCAAGTGGCTGATTTTGCCCGGCGATGGAAAGCTGCACGTGTTCCGAAGGTATGGATACGTTGCTATAGGCAAAGGTTGTCGTCTAGGTTTGTTGTTCAGCTCATGTTTTGAAGATCGAAGTTATCTGTATGTCTTGTAGGGGGTTGGGAAAAGGACCAGTGGTTTGTTCGGGCCATGCATGCAAGAGCGGTTACATGTGGCGGCTTGGATGGGTCCAGTTGATGAGTGCCACCACGCCTGTAGAAAAGGGCAAGGCTCCGGCAGGCAAATAGTCGATGGCATGGTTGCTGGAGGCCTTGCCTTGGCGGCAAGACGACGCAGGGCAGCCACCTGTGTGGCTCATGATAGTCGTGTGCTGGAATCAAGTGGAAGAAGCGGGACGAACAGGAGGATTTGGCTTTCCGTCTTCAGCCCCACCAAATGATGGAGAACATGGTGTAGAACAGCCGATACTGGTGCACGTGCTGCACAAGAGCGCGGCCTTGGCGAAGGGCGCGGTCTTGACGCGCCCCAAACGTTCGTAGGCCGATTGTCGGCTTAGTTCGGCATCCACAATGTACGTACAGCATGGCTTCAGCTCTCAACGCTTCCCCTCTGCCAACCCCCTCCGCTCGACTCGCCGAATACCTCACGACCCTTCTCGCCTGGTCATGTGCTAACCTGGTTCGGTGGAAAAACCGCGTGCTCCGTCCCGGCTTTTGTCAGGGTGCATTTTCAATGGTTTAACGGCCAAGGCAATGCACGGCTATGAGTACACACACCCCACACCCCACCCCCCCTTTCGTCTCAAATCTCCCGCCATTGCTCCTCCTTGGATGCACCCCTGCCCCTCCCCCCATTTTTTTTCCCGCTCTATGCCGATTGTTGTCATTGTGCCTCGTCGCAGTGAACGGCCTATGACCAAATTCCTCCTAGCCCCGGCGAAAAACCTGGAGGCTGGGGACGCCATCTGGAACGGCTGGTTCCCAGCGGAGAGGGGGGGTCCAGCACCCTTAAACACGGCGTGCCTGTGTAGCGAGGAGATGTGCGTCAATGGTTGACGCGGCGGCACGCATGCAATTTTTTTTTTTTTGCTACAAATTGTTCTTGTCGTAAACCCATGTCGTTGTTGGTCCCTACGCGGTGCGTACTTGGCGGTGGTGGTTTTCCGAGGGAGGGACCTTGTTTTGAGGGCACGTGTGTAGTTGTTCGTGGAGCTGGACATGCTTGCCTGCGTGCGCGCGTGTTCTTTGCACTTGAGTTTTTGAGTAGCCGTCGCGATTGCCACGCGTAGAACGGCCGGCGAGGTGGGCAAGGTGGGCAAATGCGAATCCTGATGAGGGTTCAGGCAGGGGAGTGAGTTTATCTTTTGTTGTAGGAGTTGTACGCAAAGCGTGATGGCTTTCTGCGTTAGCCTGTGGTACGGTGGGCTTGCAGGGCATGGAGGGGTGCGCATGGGTTTCATGCGAGCACTGCTGTTGTACTTGTGAATTTTTGGTGATAGTGGGAAACACATGCTGGGGTGACTCCGTCTCGTTGTTGTTCTGTGTAAGGTATCTTGGTGCTGGCGCTGCTGTTGCTGCTAGTCTACTCTTTCGTGTGCGTGAATTTGTTTTGATTGTTCAATTGTGTGGTTGTGTATGTTTGGTGTTCGGGACGGCTGCATGTGATGGCCTTCTACTCATTGGGTTTTTCGAAGTGGTAGTAGTGATGCTCGCTTCATCGAGGTTAATCGTAGGCATTCGCAAACAGCTACCGGAAGCTACGGAGTTTTTCCCCCCTAATACGGATTCCCCCCCCCCCCTCCATTATCTTTTCGGCCTGGAAGCATGGTTTCGTTGATTTAGCCCCGGGGCAGATCGTTTGCAACCAAAAAAACAATCCCCCCGGGTATTTCAACTTCCCCCCGGGGTACCAGTTTCCCACGAGTCCCCCCCGGGGGGGATGCATTTCCCGTGTTTTCTGAGTCGATTTTGTTGCATCGCGGAGCACAAAAAGCATGATATGGGACGGGAAATTCATTTGCAGATCTACGCTTCGAGTGAGATTTAGGTGTACCGTTTGTCATTTGGCCCTCGCCGTTGTTTCATGGGTGAAATGTTTTCGTTTTCTTGTCTATTTCTTACATTTATCGTCCCTGGAGTCAGCTGAAACGTATCATAGCATGCTGACGAAGCCTTGCGCACAAAGGGATAAAATAATCGTTTTCATGTGTGGATCTAAAAAAACTCGAGGTTATCCTTGTTCCTGCGGACAAACTGCGAATTGTTGTGCATGAACTCAGGTAATGGTACCTCTTGCTAACTGTTTTCTCTTCGTCTTCGTCGCCCGTGCGTTACTCCTACCTCTGCTAGTTGAAATCTTGATCCTAAACCTTATCCATCTCAGTTTCGCCACTCGTGTGTACGGTGTGTGGTGTGTGGACGATCATTATTTTGCACCTCCCCCCGCCCCCCGCCCCCCCNNNNAGACACGTACTGAAACCTCACAGGTGATTCGTATTGGAGATTGCCGGACACATAGACGTGTTGAGTGAGGATAGCTGCATACTGAAACCTCACAGATGCATTGGTTTTTGAGTTTGCCAGACACATGGACATGTTGAGTGAAGATAGCTACATGCTGAAACCTCACAAATGGATTGTTTGTTGAGGTTGCCAGACACAGACGCGCTGCGTGGGGATAGCTGCATACTGTAACCTCACGAGTTGAGTGATGTTACAAAGTGCCGGTATTATGGATATTATGCAATACCCTGGCACAGTGGTGTAGAGTCTGTGTCGTCGACGTTAGTCGAGGTGATGACACGTGCGAGAGGGTAGCCTGGAAGACGAGAGTCCTTCCACGCAGTGAAGAAGATGTTGAGATATTGAAACACTGGCGCTTAGGTGACCAACATAATCCGGAAGCATCACACGAGAGAGTGAGCTACTCGGCTACCAAGCACCACGCAGAGAATCCTGCGAGAGTAATTCCTCCGCATTCACATATTTATACGTTACGTATTTTTTCTTTCGGCGGGTGTGGGAAGCGTCCTCCATTATTTATTTATTTTTTTTTTGTTTTTTTTTTGATCGGTGTCCGAGGGCTCTTTTCTCGAACAGTAGGTGCGATACCTGTTCTTTTCTTTCTTTCGATCATTTTGTTTTCTTTTTCCGAGTGGTTTGTATCCTATTTTTGTTTTTTGTTTTCTCGCGGCGTCGTATGTGCCGGGTTTTGAGACCACGGGCTCCCCATTTTTTGTGGACTATAGAGCTAATGTGAGAAACAACAACAACAACAACAACGTTACATTCGAACCGACATTCGAACCGACAAATATGAGATCTACGATGTACAAGAGCAGTGAACATTGATTCATACTGGTTATGTGCTAATATTTCCATAACAGCCGGACACAGAGACGCTTTGAGTGAGGAAAAACACATACTGAAACCTCACAGGTGATTTGTATTGGAGTTTGCCAGACACATGGACGCGCTGCGTGGGGATACCTACACACTGAAACCGCACGAGTTGAGTGATGTTGGACAGTGCCAGACACAGAGGAAATACACACACTGAAACCTCACAGGTGATTTGTATTGGAGTTTGCCAGACACATGGACGCGCTGCGTGGGGATACCTACACACTGAAACCGCACGAGTTGAGTGATGTTGGACAGTGCCAGACACAGAGGAAATACACACACTGAAACCTCACAGGGTGATTTGCATTGGAGATTGCCGGACACGTAGACGTGTTGAGTGAAGATAGCTAGATACTGAAACCTCACAGATGGATTGGTTTTTGAGTTTGCCAGACACATAGACGCTTTGAGCGGGGATAGCTTCACACTGAAACCTCACGAGTTGAGCGATGTTGGATAGTGCCGGACACAAAGACTCGTTGAGTGAGGATGGCTGCATACTGAAACCCCACAGGTTGATTTGCATTGGAGATTGCCGGACACAACATCTAGTCTAGACGTGTTGAGTGAAGAAAGCTAGATACTGAAACCTCACAGATGGGTTGGTTTTTGGGTTTGCCAGACACATAGACGCTTTGAGTGGGGATAGCTACATACTGAAACCTCACGAGTTGAATGATGTTGGATAGCGCCGGACACATAGATGCTATTCGATATACTCGTAGCATAGCATGCGGGTGGTATATTGCGTATACATATGCGGGTATTGCAGTGACGAACTACGTAGGAACAATAAGTGTCTCTTATGTTTTCCTTGGGAGTGTGGTAGATTGGTGGAGATTCATGAGGATTGGTTTTGGGTGTTTGAGCGTTATGCGTGACTTGATGCCGTGATGGAATGACGAGCTCAAGCACGCCCCCGATGAATACAACACGGATACAACACGTTTTCCCACACGTCTGTACGACTTTACCTACCCCTACGGCCCGTCATGGCCGAGCTGCTCTACACTCCCATCACACACAACTGAGCCACCCGAATTATCGATCATGCTAGCGTGCGACACGTCGTCTACGAGATTCGCGGTCGAGCTTGGTTTAGGAGTATCGCTTTGCGGCGATCGAGAGCAGGGTCAAGATGGCTACCAGGCGC